CCCCCCCCCCCCCCCCTCGAGAGTGAGGTACCTCCGAGCGAGTAACTCACTCAAAGTCCCTGCATAACACATCATAAATGTAAATGGAAAAGAGAGATCGGGTATGTTCCGTAGGAGTGAGGGTAGCGGTGAATTTAGGTTGCTGTTAGGAGACAATCATTCATATGCGTTGACGACTCGCGGGGCACTCTGCAGCAAGTCCTCCTTAGCAATCCGATAAAAATCATTTAATGGATGATATAGAAAATGGACTTTGTATTGTCTGTTTCTCCCTTTTCCATTGTGCGCGACAATTCTATCAATCTCGTGACCGCCATCGATTGCACAAGGAATCATCAATTCTCAATACGGAAAAGTTTCCGGTGATACATAAGGAAACAACTTCGATGTCTGAAAGACTGGGTATGTGCACCGATGAGCAGGCACGTCGATCGTGTAAGAAGGACCAAATGAATCCTGCCCTACCTGGTTTAGTACCTTCCACGGATCGTAATACTGAGGAAAAAGATTTTGTGATACACCTTCTTCTTCAGAAAACTCATACATTTTGACCAAGACATAGCTTCGCACTGTAAAAGGTTTAGGCTGACGCTTTTTGTTAGCATGCTTAATCATGGCACTGCATCGCCTTTCCATAGCTGCAACAACAACTTTGAGCAAGCGATCAAACTTAGCGCTGTAGCCTCCATAGCTGCAACAGCAACTTTGAGCAAGCGATCAAACTTAGCGCTGTAGCCTGGCTAGGAAGGTGTTAGGCCAGGTCCCGGGTCAAGAAACAAATAGGATGGGGGACTGCGATTTTGTCACCCAAGGTGCAGCCGATTAGGTGTCATCCTGGTGGAGGAGCGTATGGAGTTGTTGTACAATCCCTGCACAATCGGCAATTCCTCATCCCGAGAGTTCTGATCAGGCACAATTAGCGTTCGGAGAAGTTGGATCATAGTCTGGTTGATTTCCTCGGCCAACCCATTGGCTTCAGGATGTCAACCAGACGTCTTCTTGAGTTTGATGCCATAGATCTGGGAGGTGAAATCTTCCCAATCTGCACTTATGAACCTAGTGCCCCGTTCACTCACGAGTCTTCGGGGCCCCACACTGCAGAATGCACCTCTTGTTAAATTCCTCGATCACAAGAATAGTTGGGGTGTGAGGTGGTAATGGAATCAAATTCAAAAATTTTGAAACGCGGTCAACGATCACCATTACTTGCGAATATTTGTTCCTGCTCTTCTTTCCCATGTCCTTACGGACATGGGAATGGAAAGAGACTCGCTCGCACCATCAGGGATAGGAAGAGGATGCGGCAGCCCATAGGGCTTTTGCCGAGACGGTTTGATGTGTTGACAAACTTCACACTTGACCACAAACTTTTGTGTCATTCCTTTCATCCCAGGCCATACAAACTTTTGCAATAGACTTCCGTATGTCTTTTCAAAACCGAAGTGTCCAATCCGGCCATGAGCCAAGTCCAAGAAGTGAGTACGGATAGGCTCATGGTTGGGTACACACGGTCGGTCGTACGTCCCATAACGTCAGAAGAGCAAAACTTTACACTTGTGGAAATCAGGCTGACTGCTAGGGTCAGTGTAGATCTGCTCAAGGATGGGACAAAGTTCCGGGTCCTTGGCAATATGCTCAACTAGTTCCTCCTTCAAATTCTTACTGATACCGTAGGAGCCCACAAGGCAAATCATGTATTCAGGGTGGCAAGACAAAGAATTCGCAATGCGATTGTAACAGCCTTTCTTGTGCTTAAGTTCAAAATCATACACATCAATCTCATGCAACCCGCAAGTCAATGTAGTTGATGGATTAATTTGTGTTTGGATCCATTTTGAAGTCTCGTGGTCAGAGAACACTTTGAAATGCCGACCCAAAAGGTAGTGTTTCCAATGACCTATTGCCTCTCTCAAGGCATAGTGTTCTCGCATGTAAGTGGAGGCAACTACCTTGTGACTGGGCATGTGTTTGCTGCAATATTCAAGCGGACGTAAGCCGTCACCATCATCTTGCTGCAGCATTGCACCGATCCCATACAAGCTTGCATCTGTAGTTACTGTGAATGCAAGTTTGGGATCTGCAATAAGGAGCACCGGATGACTCGCCAAAGCCTCCTTCAATGCTCTGAAGGCGGTTGTGCATTCCCCATTCCACGTGTAAGATGCGTTCTTGCTTGGCAATTTAGAGAGCGGACGGGCGATGATAGAGAATTTGGGCACAAACTTACAGTAGTACGACATGAGACCAAGAAAAGAACGCAACTCTCGAACATTTGCTGGTTGAGGCCATTTGTGAATGACCTCCACTTTGGTTGCCTCAAGTTCTAGGCCTTCAGCTAACAACCAATGTACAAGGTAGATGACGTTGTCCCTCCCAAACTCAGATTTCTCTAATTTGAGATGAAGTTGTGCATCCTTGAGGATCTGCAACACTTCCTCAAGGTGTTAGGTGGCTGGTGCATTTGTGAGACTGAAGGGCATTCGTGAGACTGAAGGGCATGACGGTAAACTCCTACAGCCCATCGCGAGTTTTGAATGCAGTTTTGTTATGATCCTAGCCAATTTCGAGATACACATCCATCAGATAGTACAATGTCGTCCAATTGCAGAAAGAAATGAATCAACTTGAGAGGAGAGAGAGGATTAGAAGAAGAAGTACACCAGCACAGACAAATTACAAGGCTCTTCTTCTTCGCCCAACAATCTCCTCCTCCTTATGTCCCCCTTCTCTTATTCATACAAGAAATAATAATACAATGTTGAATGGCTGATCCAGAATCAATGTCGGAGTTCCTCTTCTACTGCAGGTATCACTTGAGGTCCACCATAACCATGGCCGCCTCTCTCACTCTTCACTCTCATAGGCCGAGGCTATGGCAGACTACTAGGCCTTGCCCAGATGCCCAAAGGACAACCCAAAGCAGCTATGGCTGCTCTAGCTCAGGCCGCCATGCTCGACCCTGCCTTGAAGCTTTTTGGTGTGGCTCTCCCCAGTTGGGGACTCCCTGTTGCAGCGCCCACCA